TGGTAAAAGTCGTTTTTGCCCTAACTATTTTGCCTTAAATCAATTTGATCATATCAGTTCTTACTCGGTTCACAATCATCTTTATATCTCAGATTACGTCGCATTCGAGCAAACCCGTGACTCTATCTGCATCTCAAAGCGTTGTTATGTCCGGTGTTGTAACCAAGACAGCTTCGTTTGCCGGAGTAATGGCAGTAATGAATCCAGCATCGATTCCTGCAGGACAATCGATGAAGATGAAATCCGGAGAACCTTCAGGTCTAGTTTTTAGAGCATCTACAAGCCATTCCAATGCTTTTCCACCAAATCCCATCAGAAGTTTTGATCTAGGTTTCGATACACAGCAATTCAAAATTTGACCTATGCTTATCGCGTACCAGAGCCTGGTCGAGACGGCAATCTCCGTTCCGAACCTCAACGGCGGTGTAATTGACTCGATTCTCTAACCGTAGAAGGAGATCGAGGTTACGGAGACCAAGGGACTGAGAACCTGTAACGAGCGAGAGAGAGACCGACATTTGTGGTGGTAGTTGTCTTTCCAACCCCACCTTTTCCGGAGGTGATGATAACGATACGCGGCGTTTCTCTGGCGAGCTCCGATTTACGATTAAACTAATCGTATTGGACTCCGTCTGCTAGGGTTTTTGATGAATCGTGGTAACGATACTAAGGGTTTTGCGAAGAGAGACGATGGAAGAAGCGAAGATTGATGATTCGTAGAGAACAATCGCACTGTTCAACATTGATCTTCCAAGCTTAGAAATCACAAATTGATTTGGGGCAAAATAGTTAGGACCACGACTGTATTAACACATGTTAATTAAAAATAAAAGGAGTTTGTTAACACGATATTAACGTTGATGTAGTAAAACTACTGAAAGTTGGAGTATATAAAAGACAATGTTATATAGTTGGTGTATTAGTCGGATAGCCAAAAAAATTTAGATATTTTTAAGCAAATTAAATTAAATTGGGGTATTTTTTGGGAATTTTCCCCATCAAGATGTCTAAATATGGTCCTCGTTTACAATTGATTTTGAAAATTGTTTAATTTTCGAAGAAAAAAAAAGGCAATAAAAAGCGACCCTCGTGACCTATACGAAGAAGATTCGGTCCAGAAAAAGAGTTGGCGGGTCCTTCAGTCATTCCTCCTCACGTAAAAGTCCTAACAACAGTGATTTTCAAATGACTCAAATTGCGATTAAAATTAGAATTAATTGTTTGCAGAAATTAGTCTAGATTCATTTACCTAACAAACAATACAATGTTATATTTTACATTTACACGACGTCTACGTTGCATTATTTGTCCTATAATAAACCAACCCCAACCACACCACAAAATCATCGATATCTC